ATTCCTGTGCTATCAGTATAAAAATAAAACAGCAAGTGTCTTAAAAATAGTGGTACTGTATTTGAAATCTTAAGGGGGAAGATGTGGTGGGTAGGTGTGCATGCCAGCCAAGCCCTCGTCTATCTTAGTTCTAAGGAGATGCCAAGTTGGGACATTGGAGAAGGAATAGGAGAAGAGGTCATCACCGTGCTTGCTACATCCACACAACCCTCTGCTCATCACCATGAGTCCTCTCCGAGCAAACTCCGGTAGGTGGTTTTTCTATAGGAGTGTGTCTTCTCCAAGCTGCTGGGATGGATCCATAGAGGGATTGCAGTCAGACAAACAGGAAGACCTAAGAATCAGCCTTACAATTTGAGGGCACTTGGGAAACATCAGAAGAGGAAGGGAGTGGGGAGATTTACCAAAGAACTAATGAGGCTTTCACAGGTAAAAACTCATCTCTCCAACCTCCCCTAAACCCTTAAAGTTACCTGCTTGAAGGAGAGTGGGAGGGAAGAACGGTGACCACCAAGGCAGCCACAGAGTGCTTGTGCACAGTTCTGAAGGTCTGGGCGTGGACCAAGGCTGGATGAGACTAGCAGGGGTGTGTACCCAGTGGAAGGGGCCTGCTAACTCTCCCTTGTCAGTGAAAACAAAGGCTTTGGGAGTGACAGCTGGGGTGACTGGAATTGCTCTGAAAAATTCCAAGCAGGCCAAATGCTTCTAGGGGCCCTACAAAGTGATTTGGGAAAGAATGTTCCATCGAAAGGAGGAGGAGGAGGAGGGGGTCATGCTTAAACATGGCAGGTGGGAAGCCTGGCTCAGTGGGCTGTGAGGTCTTTTTAGGAGCTGAACAGTACTAGTCCTCAGGTCCTCAGCACCCCCTGCAGCTGCTGGTGGAAGCTTCCTTCTGTCACAGCCGCTCTGAATAGTCCTGTTCTGCTGCCAACGTTTTGTGACAACATGCAGGAGGATGGAAGGGTTCACCCCTTTTTCTTGACAGCTGCCAGTTTGCCTTCTCATGCCCATTACTCCACTATCGGGGCTTCCCTGCTGCTTTTTCCTTCCAGCTTTCTGAGGAAAGGAATGATTGCTGAGCATTTACTTGATTCTGGTGTAGGAACTGAACTCACTTATTGTCCTTGTTCCTCTCTATCACCCTCAGGAAGGGACACATATTGCCTTCAGTTTACAGAGGAATACGTGTGGGCACCAAGACATTGCTACCTCGGCTGAGAATGCTCAGCTGAGCGTCAAGGTCAGAACTGCAGCCCGGGTTATCTGGCCTGCAGACCTAACCACCTACACCACTGCCATGGGTCTCTAGCTTCCATGGCCTCAGAGACTGTAGGCTTTGGCAGTGTGGGGTAGTGGCCTCGTGTGAGTCCTGGTGGCTTTAGCTGATGAATTCTAAACCTATATCCTGAGCACTTCTAAGCTGCTCACATGGAGTTTGAGAGCCTCAGTACACCCCTAAAGATCTTTGTTTAGGGGTATTTGGAAGGCAGCACTTCCAAGTACTACAAGAGTTTGGTGAGATGTCTAGTGAGATTTCTTATAGAAAGGAAAGAGGCCTGTGGGAGTTTGAATGTGCCACTATTGAGAGTGCCACTATTGAGAGTGGCACCATTAGGAAGTGTGGCTTTGATAGAGTGGGTATGGCCTTATTGGAGGAACTGTGTCTCTATGCAGGCAGGCTTTGAGGTTTCCTATGCTCAGGATACCACCTAGTGTCTCAGTCAACTGCCTGATGCCTGCAAGATATAGGACTCTCAGCTACTTCTCCAGCTCCATGTCTGCCTGCACACCAACACGTCTCATCATGATGGTAATGAACTGAACCTCTGAAACTGTAAGCCACCCCTATTAAATGTTTTCTTCATAAGAGCTGCCATGGTCATGGTGTCTCTTCACAGCAATAGAGACCCTGACTAAGACAAGACCCAAACACAGATGTGGAGACTCGGCGGAGGTGGAGAGGAGCAAATAAAGGAGGGAGAGAAAAGAGAAGGGAAGGGGAGAAAAGGAGGAGAAGAAAACCAGCAAATAGAATGCAGGAGAAAGGAGGAGGAAAAGGAAGGACCAAAAAAGAAAGTTAGGGAAGGGTTGGGAGGAGGCACTGTTGAAACTTCTTGTTCGCATCATCCCAGTATAAGGGCTTCCCCAAGCTGGCAGGCAGCACGTAGTGAGATTTTTTTTTGCATGACCTGCACAGCGTCTGGAAGCTGTTGGCTCAGGTGGCCTGCTCCTGGGAGCTAAGGCCAGGTCACATGTAAGTCTCAGCTGGTAGGAACAAAGATCTGTAAGAAGCAGCAACTGATACTTGAGTTTCTTGGACAGGAAAATTAGATGTCAATCTAAGGAGTCCTTCTGGTTCACCAGCTGAGCCAGAAGCCAGAGCACTCTTGTACAAGGGGCCTGGATGCCAGGTGTGGGTAGATGTTGATTGTTGCTAACAAGGCCAACTCTTTAAGCAAGACCTTGGAGGCCTGCTTGAAGAGGAAGCCTGTGCACTAAGTGTTTTGCACTGACTAGCTCATGAATTGACATAACAGCAGGTAAAGCGGTATTTCCATATGTGTACGGATACACAACCTCCATTTGTCCACTCTATCCACCCCCAACCCACTCCCAGATTCCAGTTAACATGGTTCTGCTTTTTTTCATATGGCTTGTTTTAGCCTCTACACATGACAAAGTCTATGACCCCTGGGGTGCTACTGGGATTGCTGTAGCTGGGCCCGAGCCAGACATTTTACAATGACATGTTCCAGGTGATTCTCTCTCGTATGGAGCTGTGGTTCTCAGCCCATAGCAAAACTGGCTTCTCTGGGGCTCCCACAGGGCCTCAGACACTCCACTGCTCTTCTAAGGTATATGCCTAGAAAGTTTTCATGCTGTGGGTAGAAAAGTGAAGGCCCTGATCAGCTGAAGTTCCTGTGGAGTTCACAGTGCCGCTAAGAAAAATAAGGTAGCTTTATGTAAAGCTATCTTCCTTTCTAAGGCATGGCAGCAAGGACCAGAAATGAAACTGATGACTGCCACTTTAACTCAAGTGTAAACTCAGCCAACCTTCCAAGCAAATCATGGAAAGGATTGTGTGCTTCTAGCTAGGTGCTACTTGGCAAATATCACAGAACTAGGATGCTTGGTCCTACAGGATAGGGTTTTCCACGCTCTGGCAAATGGGAATGACAAATGCACACCCTACAGCTGACCCTCTGTCCTCCATTCAATCCACTCCAGCCAGCAGCTGTCAGGATTCAGATTCAACCCCAGCACCTGGACCCCGGGAATGTCCCTGGGGCACTGTGTTCTATGTGGCTGTTCTGCCCAAGGCTAATGACCTGCTATGTTCTGGGCTCTGTTAGTCCAAGAAAGTCCATGAACCACCATATAAGCATCCCCTAGGATCTTGTTAAATATGATGAATTACAGACCCTGTCCTGGATCTGTAGTTTTAACAAGACCCCGGGAGGTTGGGACCTGTACTGGATGTGCATTGCTTCTGGTTCTCCAAAAGGTAAGGGAGTTTCTCCTAACAAAGAGCCCTCATAAAATGAGGGCTCATCCCTGTTAGCTCATGGGCCTTCTGGGTTAGGGTGCTGGCCCTTTAAGACACTCTGCACTGGTCACTCGAAAGGATTTAAGAGTCAGATGGTTTCCTTTTTCAAGAGCTTTGTCTGAAGACTGTCCTCTCCCCCATCCCAATCCTGGCCCTGTAGCTGTCTCTCCAGGTTTAAAGATAAGGCCCTGTCATGCTGTGTTTTTATATGATGTACCGTCCTTTCCTAATGCCCTCCTATCTCAAGATGCAGTCATGGCTCCATGGTCTTGAAGCCATCTTCCTTAATAATGCACATTCTGAAAGGCAATCATGTGTTAGCTTTTTCCCCAAACCAAACCACCTGCTGCCATTTCTCTTATTTCTAGCATTCTCCTGCTATGCCAGACACAGTATAGCCATGGAAATCCCTTAACACTTTAACAGCACAGGAAGACTTGTCCATGTACTCAGTGGGAATCACACTGGCCTCTCTTCCTTAACTCCACCAATCAGTCTTCCCTTGAGGCCCACTCGCAGTGGTCTCTCCTTGGGGCCTGATCTCCCTAAACCGTCCTTGCTTCTTACAGGAATCAACAGACCCAAAAAGGAGCCAGGCACTCAAAGGCAGTACCATGATGTTGAGTTTAAAAAGGGTGTGGTCATTTAAATTCTTACCAGCTTAGCATGGGAGTTCCTAAGTCTTGGCGGAAGGCAGACAGTTCTGGATTTATGGACTACACCTTGAGTAATAAGACCCTGCAAAGCAGCATGTCTGTAACTGAACGTGGATTCACCACCTGGGAAGAGAGCTAGTAGATGAAACTCAAAAACAAAGAGTAAATAACAATTTATTATTTGTGTAAGTAAGTGGAGCAAACACACAAGGCAAGATTTTATTGGAGAAACTTATGTTAAGCCATATTGGAACGATGTCACCACAGTAGAGGTGGGCACAATCCTGAGCATGCTCAGTTCAATAGTGTAACTCTTCACATGCCTGATGTTCAAAATAGTGGATGGGAAATGGATTGCATAGAGAATTTAGCACTATAATGTTAGATCAAGATGCACAAAACTCATTCTAAGTCACCTGTGACAATGACTCAGAGTGACTCAGCAACACAGCTTCCTTGTGGTTTTCTTTGGAAAACAACAAAAATAAGACCTGGAAAGGATGTTAGTAATCACTAAAGAGAAGCAGCTTTCCCTATCTAAACTCAGAAGTTTCCAGATGAAAGTTCTGCTAGCAGCTGGTGATATCTTCAAGGGCTAACTCAGAATGTCAGTGCCAGCCTGGACTTCACTCTATAGATTCCATACTGGTCCTCAAGGGCTGTGAGCCTCTGCAGAGACAGAGGCTCAGCCAGCCTCCTCTCACTGGCAGCAAGCATCGTAAGCAGAGGAGGAGTCATCCGGATGGACAGAGCAAAGCGCAGGCTTCAGACAGCGGAAGAGGTGGTGGGTTGTTCCCTGCTACTTGACAGCCAGATACTTTTCTGTGGCAATGAAGTCTTTAAATTTGGTTCTCACATTTCCCAGTTTCAGCAAATTCCATTTCTGCCTGGGCGGCTTCTTTTCAGGGAGCAGAAGGAGGTAAGAGAAGCACCTTTCTTTGCAGTCAAAGAGGGCAACTTACCAAGGAGGCAGGAGAATGCAGTGTGTGTGTGGGGGGGGGGTGGTGGTGTTGTGTAAATCAGTGCAGAGGAATCTGTGCAAAGAGGCTGTTTTCTATTTCCTATTGCATTTTCTTTTAATTCTGAAAGTTTATTCTTTGACAGTTTTGATCATATTCCCCCACTACTCCCACTACCCTGTTTTAGCCTCTCCCACTAAACCCCATCTTCTTCCCAACAAGTTCACCTCCTAACTTTTGTGTGTGTGTGTATGTGTGTGTGTGTGTGTGTGTGTATGGTGTGTTTGTGTGTTTATGTGTGTGCATGTGTGTACGGAGTGTGTGTTTGTATACTGTGTGCACATGTATGGTACATGTATGGTGTGCATTTGTGTGTATGATGTGTGTTTGTGTATGTGTGCGGTGTGTGCGTGGCATGTATGTGTAGTGTGTATACATGTATGATATGTATATGTGTATGGTGTGTGTGTGTGTATGTGTGTGTGTGACTCACTGAGCTTAGTTAGGATTACCTTCACATGCATGGTGCTGGGTTATTTACCAGACCATGGACAACTGACTGCACCACTGAAGAGAACTGATCCTCCCATCCCCATAACAACCATTAACTGCTAATAGCTCTTTGGGGAGCATCAGGGCTGTGTGAGCTCTTCCTGTTGGCATGTTGGCAGGCCCCATCTTGTGCAGGTAACCACAGCTGCTGTGACCTGGTAAGTTTAACAGCCACTCCATCTCCAGAGGACAGCAGTTCACAGCCTCTTCCTCCTCCTCTTCTTCCTCTTACATCCTTTCTTTTCCATCTTCTGTGAAGTTCCCTGAGCCTTAGTAGAGTGTCCTACTGGATTTCCTAAGTGTGGACCAACCCACATTGTAACCTTCAGGCAAGTGAACAAACATTCCAGCAGATCATGCTCTGGTAAATAAGCCAGAACCATGAACATGCTGGCAACCCTAACTAAACTCAGACAGTCAGACAGACAGACAGACAGACAGACAGACACACACACACACACACACACACACACACACACACACACACACACACACACACACATATACCACAAAAGTAAGAGAGGGATTTGTTGGGAAGAAGAGGTTTAGAGGAAGATGATAAGGCAGGGTAATGGGTAATGGGGGAATATGATTAAAATACATTATAGTGTGTATGAAGTTGTCAAAGAATACTATAAAGATAAGTTTTAATGAGGGAAAGAGTAAGCCCCAGTTGCCCCTCTCCACTTTGGATGCTATTTGATCTGGCACAATAGGACTCAATCAATCTGCCAAAAAACTATTCATCAAACCCCTACCATATGTAGACTTGGCTAAAACTTTGCCCGATATGCTTGGTGGAGAAAATCCAAGGCCAGGCTCACATCATCCTTCAACTGAAATCCACCGGAGAGATTCATAGTCAGCTTTTGAACATTTGAAAATTAAATGTTTCAGAAAACCTTCCATTCAAATGGACTCTTGGTCTTTCGTGTTGGGAGACAAGAGAGAGAAAGAGGAGACTGCGCAAGGTTCATTCATGTGAACAGTGTCATTGTGCTAAGAACAAAACAGAAACCACGCAGAGAGAAAGCCGTGCCCTTGTGTCTAGGAATTTGCCATAGTTAGTTTTTCCAGTGGCCACTTGACTGCAGTTGCTTCAAGGCAGCTGGCGGAGGTCTTCCTGAGCTTGGCTGCTGCAGTGTCATCTCACTCAGGAAAACTTGAAGGACTTTACACTACAGACCCATGGACCCAACACCATGGTGGAAATGCATAAGCACAGAGTCCATTTCACGGTCAAAGCAAAGCAAGATGGACAGACAGGGAAAGTGAAGAGGACCTGAGATAAAAAAAAAAAAGCCGCTCATCCTGGGATTTGTTTGTCCTGACTGCTGTCTAAAAGCCAGGAAACATCAACACCACAGGCAACGTTAAAGCTGCCTGCAGACAGACATAATGTGTGTTTTCCTAAAGATGTGTGATGTGAACCCTGGATCTTCACAACAGCAAATGAACCATGCTTACTCAGAGCATGGATGTCTGTGACCTCGAGTTTAGCAGTACTAACATTCCTCTCTAGTCCCTAAATCTAAACAACACACTACAGAAAAACCGATTCGCGTCTTCACTTACAAAAGGAAACTCTATGAGAAATGAGTCAGCTTGTAGACTTTATTTAACTTGTAATTTTTACTTAAATACAAGTTTTGCTTGATTGTCAAGCCTTACAAATCCCACCCTTTGAGAAATGTGATGGAGAGCCATGGCATTTCATGTACAGCCTTACAAACAGACCTGAGTGGGTCTCTTCTGAGAAGCCCACCCCTGGCTCGGGATCTTACACTGTTGTTTTGCTTTGCTAGATGACTCTATCTGGATACCTAATCAACTCACTATCTTTGCTTCCACTAAGATCTTCCTGAAAATTTTGCTGTAATCGAGTCAAGAATTTGCTTAACCTGAAAGGAGGGCCCTAAGAGGGATAGGAACTCAGGCTGAAGGTAGCTGTATTAGCTGGCATCCCCCTGCTGCAGGAGACGCAAGGACATCTGGAGAACTGACAAGAAAACATGTCTGTCTGTTCCTTCCTGCATACAAACATGTCAGTTAATCAAAACTGTCAGTGTCTAGGTCTAATCTCTCCACCCAGTCACCACTAAGCTATGGAAGTGTCATGTCCTAGTCTTTGTATTGCAGGTTGACTGTTCAGGAAGCTTATATCTTGGTGAATTGAGATACAATTTACTGGTAGAGTGGTAAAATTTGTTCAATTAAAAAGAGAATCATTTTAACCTATAGGAGAGACAGAAGTAATGAGTAATTTGGGAAGTTTTGCTCAGTTAGTATTTGGCTATTGTTGAGTCACAGCCAACTTTGTTTAACTTTTTGAATATGATCGGTTTGGTGGTTTTGTTTCCTGCATGGAATTTTGGCTATAATGGTTGGCGCCCTAGCAGTCATTATATACTCTTGAGGATATGCCCACAATGCAATGCAAAGACAGAAGACTATGCCCTTAATGACTTCATAGAACTATCCATGTCTGGACTAGAAGAGAATAAACCTGAGTGTTTAAGTCACCATAACTAATTTTTTTGTCTGAGTGTACTTCCAAAAGAATAAATTAACCATTCCTTACATTGAGCAGTGTCTTTGTTCAAAGGAGAAAAACCAAAAACAAAACTATTCCAATACCAGCAACAAAGGATCAATAGAATAATTAATGGGAATCCACAGTCGGCCACCAGGAGGCTCTCTACTCAACAGACATCCTTGATAAATGAATTTATAGACTGTTCCTATGGGGCACCAGGCAAAATGCTGACCATGTAAACTCAGTCTCTGCCCTCAAGGAACTTCACTGTGTATTAAAATGGGGAGACTTAGCTGGGCGTTGGAGGCTCATGCCTTTAATCCCAGCACTCAGGAGGCAGAGGCAGGTGAATCTCTGTGAGTTTAAGGCCAGCCTGGTTTACAGAGCAAGTTCCAGGACAGCCTCCAAAATAATACAGAGAAACCCTGTCTGGAATAACCGATATATATGTATATATGGGAAGACCTTCCTGTGTAGATGGGGATCACCCCACATGGGGTTTCTGGGTCTGTTCTAGGCTAGGCCCTCCCTATGGGAGTGGCTAATGCCTCACCTCACTCTTCTGAACCTCATTAAAGCTTGGTCTTGAAACTTGTCTCTGATAGCTTTCCTCAGTGCCTGTGAAGCTGTGGCAAAGAGAGCGTATCAGGAGTGGTCATCATGAGCAAGTTCCACTGCCCTTCTAGAAACAGGTCTGTTGTTTCCGGGGTTGGTAAGATGGTCGAGTGACCCCAGTGGCCAAACCTGATGATCTGAATTCCATCCCCCAGACCCACATGGTAGAAGAAGAGAACCAACTCCCACAAGCTATCCTCTGACCACAACGGATATACCCATACACAAATAAATAAATACATGTACATGTAATGTAAAAATAAATAAAATTATAAAAGAGATTCTAAAGGAAAACTAGTGAAAACGCCAACAGTGTTTATGGACTATAGAATTCAAATGACCCGTTATTAATCTCCATTTATTTACATCTTCTAAAATTTTATGCACACACATCCCCCTTTGAATTTTTCTTTCACAGCACAACATGGATGCATTTATACAGGCTTAGAACAATCATGTGCCAAGGAACCAGCTCCCCAACCAAGCAGCAGACCATAGCAGCTCCCAGGAACCCTGTACCTCCTCCGACTCAGGCCTTCCTAGCCTGGTCTCTCACGAGCACATCTTAATCTTGCTTTTCTTTCACTTTGTACACTAGAATTACATAATTTTGTGTCATGTTTGGGTTTTTAACATTTGTATGAGATTTGTTCATGCTGTTGAACATAGACCCACACAATTCTTTATCCTCACACATAATATTCCCATAGGAGATTAACCAGTTTACCACGTTTCTCTGTGGGCTTCTGGAAAATCTCCTCTGGACTATTACATACAGGGCTGCTTTGAATGCATTGTGTGTCTCTTAATCAACACATCCGTATATTCCTGTGGGGTGTGTGCCTTGGAGTGAGGTAGCCAAGCAGTAGGGCAAGCACATGCTGAGCCTCGGTAGGACTGCCAGCTCTCTGAGTTGACAGTCGTATTGCTTTAGAAATAAGAAAAGAGGGCTGGTGAGATGGCTCAGCGGGCGAAGGCACCATTTTCCTGAGACCCAAGTTGAAAGCGATTAACACTGAATGACCTTTTACCGTAACCAATCTGTCCCCCCTGCGTCCCAGCATGTAGCTCAGCATACAGGGCTCCCTAACTAAACGCATCTGTCCTGTTCCTGAGCACCCCCCACCCCACCCCGTACCCACTCCTCCCCACACAGTCTGTTCTTGAGTTCTCTCCCCATTTCTGGTCAGCATCCACTCATCACACAACGTCTGCCTCCAACACCATTATTTAGATGAAGGCTTTGCTGGATTTTTC